TGCCGATCAGAAGGTCGGCGGTTCGAATCCCCACGACGGGGTGAGCTCCCATTGCTCAGTCCCTGCTCCTGCCAACCTAGCAGTTCGAAAGCATGTCAAAGTGCAAGTAGATAAATAGGTACCGCTCCAGCGGGAAGGTAAATGGTGTTTCTGTGCACTGCTCTGGTTTGCCAGAAGCGGCTTAGTCATGCTGCCCACATGACCCAGAAGCTGTATGCCTGCTCCCTTGGCCAATAAAGCGAGATGAGCGCCACAACCCCAGAGTCGTCCGCGACTGGACCTAATGGTCAGGGGTCCTTATACTACATTTTAAAAGATTTGCCTTGAGAGAGTCTTTAAACCTCTTCTGTTGACCACCACCATTACGCTTTCCATGTTTAAGTTTGGAATAGAGTAGTTGCTTTGGAAGGCGATCATCAGGCATCTGCACAACATGACCAGTCCAACAAAGTTGATGTTGAAGAATCATTGCTTCGACATGGGTGATCTTTGCTTCTTCCAGTACACTGGCTTCGCTCATAAGGATCATAGGAACATGCAAGCCCATTCACCACAACAAGGTGATGATTCAGCGAGTGAGGTTTTGAATGATACTAGGTGCCCAAAAGGGACAAAGAGGAAATGAGTCACCAAAGCGTATTTATGACATATTTTCCTTACCCAGGCCCTTATCTCCCCGACAACTAACAATTTCCTCCGTTCCATTTGGCAGCAGGAACACTGACCACTGAGCTAACAGAGCTCTGCAGGGAAGAGGCAAAAAAGCAGTGGGAAAAAACAAAACAAAAAACAAAGCACACAGACAAGATCAAAGTCTTCAAAAGTAGTGGAGCTATCTGGTGCAATCTCCCTTCCTATTACAGTGTTAGAATGGGTTGAGAGGGTTAAACCTCACGCCCAATGACAGCTACCAACCTAGATATGGCTGAGGAGGGACACTGTGTGCCTGTCTCCATGGGAGAGAAAGTGTGACTGCATCTATATCTGCACTGTGTGGCCTTGCCAAGCACTGGCATGGAGCTCTCGGGAGAGTTGGCGATGAGGAAATGGCAGGTTGTCAGGGTCAAAAAGGTTTCCTGTGCCCAAGGCCAGCTCAAAACATTTTGCTGCCTGCGTTGAATGACAAGATGGCACACACAAACACACACACACACACACACGCCCAGTTACACACAAAGTAGCCGACTAGACAAGCAATGGACTAGCAATAGCTCAGTATGGCAGCAGCTCTCCAATTTTTCAGACAGGCATGTATTTCTCAGCCTTTCCTGGAGATGCTGAGATGGAGCCTGGAACCTTCTGCACAGAAAGCAAATTGAATTGAAATTGAAATACTTTATTCAATCAATCAATCAATCTTTATTATGGTCCAGAGACCCAACAAATCGTTACAAAGCAATGCACAATTCAGACAGCCTACCTCCAGGTTAAACAAGCATTTTGTTCAGACTTAGAGATCATTGGTTCTTGCAACCACCGATAAAAACTTTGAAATACTTTATTGTCACTTGTACAACTTGTATACAGTGAGATTACACGAGCACGCCCCACTCAGCTCTCTTAGACTTAATTCCTCTCGTTTACTGATGCACACCCACCAAACCCAAAAGTCAGTTGCCCTGTTGTTATCTTTTCCTTCAGCAGCCTAACAGCCCACGGATAGAAGCTGTTCTTTACCCTGTTGGCGCGACTAATCATGCTTCTATATCTTCTGCCCGAGGGCAGGAGATCAAGAAAGTGCTGACCAGGGTGTGAATAATCCCTGAGAATTTTCCTCACTTTCCTGAGGCAACGTTCTTCTGCTATTTCATCCAGCGGATTCGTGGGACAGCCCATAATATATTGTGCTGTATTCACCACCCTCTGTAGGCACTTCCTATCAGTTGATGTCAAACCATCGTACCACGCAGATGGAGTCTCTGTTGGGCTTTCTTAACCACCTGGGTTGTATTGATTTTCCAAGTAAGGTCTTCACTGAGATAAACTCCTAGGAAGTTTGTTCATACCACTGAGCAACAGCCAGGTGTGGGACAGGCCACATGATGTACACAGTGTTGTGTAGTGGTTAAAGTTTTGGACTAGGACCTGGGAGACCAGGGTTTGAATCCCCACTCAGCCACGAAGCTCACTGGGTAACTTAGAGCCAGCCACCGCCTCTTGCAGAATCAGAGAATTGTAGGGCTGGGCTGCCACGGAGAAAGGCAGGATACAAATGTGAAAATCTGTTCCTACCCTGATTCATTCCTATAATTCCAGGTCTCCTTTCCTCCAGGAAGACTCCAGGCCATTTTGCACTTGCTACGTTTATTCTTACATGACCAGTGCATGCCTTTCTTCACGGGGAGGAAAACCCAAATGGTTTGATGGCGATATAAATGCAATCCCTTACAAGGAAGCGGCGCCTCTAGTGCCCGATATTACCCCAGCTGAAACAGACATGGCTTAAGTGAGCCTGTGGTTCACTCCCACTGGTATCTCCTTACAAGTTTTCAGGAAACATTTAGCATGTGCAGAAATAGACGTCTTCCTGAGAGCTTCCTCCAGCCAGAGGGTGGAGGACTCAGTAGCCAATATTATGCATGCATGAATTTAATAATATGCATTGTACATATAGGGACGCGGGTGGCGCTGTGGGTTAAAGCCTCAGCGCCTAGGACTTGCCGATCGAAAGGTCGGTGGTTCGAATCCCCGCGGCGGGGTGCGCTCCCGTCGTTCGGTCCCAGCGCCTGCCAACCTAGCAGTTCGAAAGCACCTTTGGGTGCAAGTAGATAAATAGGGACCGCTTACTGGCGGGAAGGTAAACGGCGTTCCATGTGCTGCGCTGGCTCGCCAGATGCAGCTTGTCACGCTGGCCACGTGACCCGGAAGTGTCTGCGGACAGCGCTGGCCCCCGGCCTATAGAGTGAGATGGGCGCACAACCCTAGAGTCTGGCAAGACTGGCCCGTACGGGCAGGGGTACCTTTACCTATTGTACATATATTAAAAGCTGAGACACTCCCTGCCCACATGTTCATTCTCTGGGGTATCTTAATCTATTTTCTATTTGTTTTATATACTGTTTTTCTTCTTGGTATGTCTGGGTAGCGTGCAAAGGAGGTTATCTCACTTTGCCATTGCAAAGACCTGGGGCTCACGAATACGAGTTTGAACCCTTTTCTCCTCTGTGCACTAAGCCTTCCTGGAACCACCCGCAAGGCACTTCATATGCATTATTGACTAACCCACACAACAGTCCTGGAAGGCAGGCCATTATTATTATTCAACGCCTCTCTTTCCCCCGCTCTCTGGCTGTTATACTCACCCTCACTTCTCTGAGCAGGGGAAAAGCTCCTGGGGCGCAAGACTCACTCAGTTGGGGTTCCTCTGGAAGGAGGACACTACTTACTTTCCCCCCACAATGGGAACTTTTGAGGAATTGAGTACAGCCAAGAATAAAGATTATCAATAGCTGATTGCACTGGAAAGTGTTTTCATATCTGACTCGATTTAACAATGGGTAATATTGGTACCAGCATGAGTCTGACCAAACTGTGGGAGGCAGTGGAGCCTGGCGTGCTCTGGTCCATGGGGTCACGAAGAGTCGGACACGACTAAACGACTAAACGACTAAACAACAACAACAAGTAAGTTCCCTGCTGCAGGATCAGGCCAAAGGGGGCCCAGCATCCAGATCTCTGGTCCAGGGGGTCACGAAGAGTCGGACAGCACTAAACGACTAAACAACAACAAATATTGGTACATTATTTAATGATGGACATTGGCTATTTTGCAATGAATTAATGTGTAACAACTAATGTTGTAAGACATTAGTTCTTCTTTAGAGGTTTCTATGCAGAGGTTGTCTTTGTCCACGGAGTTTTCTTGGCAGGGATACTGGAGTGGCTTGCCGGTTCCTCCTCCAGGTGGATCACGTTTGGTCCAAACTCTCCAGTATGACCTGTCCATCTTGGGTGGCCCTGAATGACATAACTCATAGCTTCTCTGAGTTATTCGAGCCCCTTCGCCACGGCAAGGCAGTGATCCATGAAGGGAAGCTGAAGGCTCCAATACTTTGAAGGCCAGTGTGGTGTAGTGGTTAAGAGCGGTAGTCTCGTAATCTGGGGAACCGGGTTCGCGTCTCCGATCCTCCACATGCAGCTGCTGGGTGACCTTGGGCCAGTCACACTTCTTTGAAGTCTCTCAGCCCCACTCACCTCACAGAGTGTTTGTTGTGGGGGAGGAAGGGAAAGGAGAATGTTAGCCGCTTTGAGACTCCTTAAAGGGAGTGAAAGGCAGGATATCAAATCCAAACTCTTCTTCTTCTTCTTCTTGGGCCCCTTCATGAGAAGAGAAGACTCCCTGGAGAAGACCCTGATGTTGGGAAAGATGGAGGGCACAAGGAGAAGGGTACGACAGAGGATGAGATGATTGAACAGTGTTCTTGTAGCCACCAGCATGAGTTTGACCCAACTGCGGGAGGCAGTGGAAGACAGGAGTGCCTGGCATGCTCTGGTCCAGGGGGTCATGAAGAGTCGGACACGACTAAACAACAAGAAGCAGAGGTTGGATGGTCATCTGTACTGGATGCTTTAGCTGTAATTCCAAGAACATTACAGTGACATTCAAAAACAAAACAAAACAAGAACGAAAGAGAATTGGATGCCACGCTGGTCATTTGGGTTTATGCTATTTCACATTGTTTTGATGCTTCCATGATTTTATCTACCCGTCGGCCAGGATGTTATTTTTTTAAGAGTTGGCAGTGCGCAAAGATCCTTATGAACCAAATAAAAGCCATCAGGCAGCCTCCTGCGACTACCCGGGCTTCTCCTGCGCTCCCCACGGCGACCCAGCCTCTCCCACTTCGACAGGGGCCCCTCCGCGTCCCCGCTTGGCCCAGCCTGGGCTCCCCCGTCCGCCCGCCGCTACCCCCGCTTCCGCCCGTGGAGCTCGCCGGCCGCCTGATCCGCTTACAGGCTGCCAGGGCGGGTGACGCACGGGCAGGGGAGCCCAATAGGAGCTGCGCCGAAGCCTGGCGCGCTATAAAGTGGGGCGAGCGGGCCGGGGGAAAGTCCGAGGGTGGAGCCGAGGGAAAGGCAGGGCAGGATCCTGACATCGGTGTTCTTTTCCTTCCTCCGTCGAGGCGCGCCACGCTTTTCCCTGCCGGAACACGCTCCGCCAGGAACTTCCCAACCTCTCCAGCGCCAAAGCGCACGGGTCACCGCTTTGGCGCACCGTCTCCAGCGCTGGAGACAACGCTGCGCTGCGGATCCCTGCGCTCCTCGTGGGTAGAAAGACTCGCCCCCTCCGTCCGAGACCGGGCACGGTCCCTCGGGTGTTGGTCCCTCCAGGGCGCGCGTCCTTTTGCGCGCTAAGTCGCCCGATCCAGCCCACATCTCCAGGGTTTTCCCCAGCCGCACGGACACGTCTCCCGGTTCCGGAGCGATGGAGAAGGTGAAGGCGCGGGCGCTGCTGGAGCAGCCTCTGCGAGCCGCCAGCTACAACGGCTACGCGCTGGCGGAGAAGCCGCCGCAGGCGCTGCCCGGCCGCTCCTCCGCGGACGCGCCGCGCTGCCCGAAGGCTGCAGCCAGCTCTTTCGAGAGCTGGAGAGAGGAGCGCACCCGCAGCGAGGAAGACAACGAGATGAACCTGCCCGGCTTGGCCGCCGCCTACAGCACCATCCTGCGCGCCCTGGGCGAGGACCCCGAGCGCCAGGGGCTCCTCAAGACCCCCTGGAGGGCGGCCACCGCCATGCAGTTCTTCACCAAAGGCTACCAAGAGACCATCACAGGTGAGCAGGGCAACGGTGCACGAGGGTGCACCTGGAGAATAGACCCCCGCCAAACTAAAAAAAGAGCAGAATGCCAATGCTTTGCATTGTTCCTGTTCCCAACATCCCTGTGAGGTAGGCAGGCTGCTCTTCTCAAATTAGGGGCAATTTGAGCAGTGGCGTAGCGTGGGTTGTCAGCACCCGGGGCAAGGCAAGTAATTTGCGCCCCTGCCAGGTAGGGGCAGAGAGCTGCGAGTGCGAGTGCGCCCCCCCAGATGTTGCACCCGGTGCGGCTGGCCCCCCCTGCACTGAATTTGAGCTGGCTGTAGTGTCCTGGTTCCAATAAATGAATGTGCTTAAATGGCTCCGTGTAGGTCCTTTCAGGCACCCTTACTGTTCCCATGGGGTAGATTATAGCAGACTCTGTGCCTTCCAGCTGTTTTGGACTGCACTGCCCACTAGGCAGTGCTGCCCAGGGCTGGTGGCCTTGTTTTAGTCCAAAGCAACCAGACGGCACCGGAATGGAGAAAGGTTGGGGAAGAGACTTGCCTGAAGGAGATTACAAAAGTTGGGAAGTGAATTTCCAATGAAATCATTGTTGCTTTGGAAACGCATTGGAATTTAAGAAGCTGGCTTCTACAGAGTCAAGCTGTCTAACACAGTATGCCCACACTGACTGGCAGCAGCAGCTCTTCAGGATTTCAGACAAGGAGCGTTTCCCAGCTATAATTGGAGATCATCATCATCATCATAATACAATTTATTATTTATATCCCACCCATCTGGCTGGGTTTCCCCAGCCACTCTGCGTGGCTCCCAACAGAATAATAAAGTGATAAAACATCAGTCATTAAAAACTTCCCTAAACAGGGCTGTCTTCAGATGTCTTCTCAAAGTCTGGTAGTTGTTTATCTCTTTGATATATGGTGGGAGGGCGTTCCACAGGGCGGGCGCCACCACCGAGAAGGCCCTCTGCCTGGTTCCCTGTAACCTCACAGTGAGGGAACAGCCAGAAGGCCCTTGGCGCTGGATCTCAGTGTCCAGGTAGAACGATGGAGACGCTCCTTCAGGTATACTGGACCGAGGCCGTTTAGGGCTTGAAAGATGCTTCCAAGGATTGTACCAGAGGCCTTCTGCAGGCTCCTCCCATTTTAAGATGACTTTAAAAGTTAATAATAAACTTCAGTTTTAATGAATGAAACAACTTTAAATTGCTGAGTCACTTTGTATGGCGCTGGCATAGCAAAGCAGCTAAGAAACCTGAGGCCTTGTTCTCACTCCTGTTTACTAACTGTGTTTCTAGTGCTGTGTTTTTAATCCCTGCTCACAGGACATCATCCAGAATGCAAGCATATCCTATACTTCGTTGTGAAATAATACCATCTGGGGCACTGTTTCCCCAACCAGCTTCACACAGATCTGAGTCCTTAAGGCTAAAACCACTCTTAATCTCTAGACAAGGTGTGGACTCCTTTGCATAGGGTAAAGACATCCCGCCCCCATCAGTGTCCCCTGGTGTGAACACACCCTCCGTTGTGAATTGGAAACTCCTGGGTCTGAATCTTATCTCTTCCCGAACTCCATCTGCGGTCTGGTCTCAGAGAAGTCTTCCCTTCCTCCCTCTGTCTTCCCCTCTCCTCTCCCTCTGACTAGTGGCTCTCCAGGATTTCAAACAGGGCTGTTGTGTTTGGCCAATATATACCGTATTTTTCGCTCTATAACACACACCAGACCATAACACGCACATAGTTTTTAGAGGAGGAAAACAAGGGGAAAAAAAATCTAAACGAAATAGTGGATATATGATTTTTGTGGTTCATGCTGTGGCCACAGACATGTGATCTGACAGTGAGTTTGGAGTAGCCCAATGCAAAAATCCTGAGGATCCATGTGGATCCATGCTTTGTAACCATGGAGGAGGGAAGGAAGGGGAACCATGGATCCTCTGCTCACGACTGTAGCAGATCCCCCCGCCACCCGCAGGCATTCGCTCCATAACACGCACAGACATTTCCCCTTACTTTCTAGGAGGAAAAAAGTGAGTGTTATGGTGCAAAAAATACGGTAAATAATAACATTATTATTAGCATTATTATTATTACTACTATGTACACCAGGGTTTCCCAAACTTGGGTCTCCAGCTGTTTTTGGACTGCAATTCCCATCACCCCTGACCGCTGGTCTTGCTAGCTAGGGATGATGGGAGTTGTAGTCCAAGACAGCTGGAGACTCAAGTTTGGGAAACATTGGTGTGTCCACCAGCTAGCAGGGTTTCAGGATGGGGTCTCTTTCAGCTGTGAGGATTGAATCTCTGAAATTTTCTGCATTCAAAGTTAATGCCTGTCCCTGACTCATGACCCATTCCCTAAAATAAATGATGGCTTAGAGCAGGCATGTCCAAAGTCCGTTTCGGGGGCCTGTCGGATTAATCCGGCCCCTGTGGTAGTTTATTTCCTGGAGTAAAATCCTAAAAAAAGCCCAACAACTTTGCGGTAAAATCATAAAAAGAAGGAGCGTCTCCACCCCCATCGTTCTGCCCGGACACTGAGGGCCTTCTGGTGGTTCCCTCACTGCGAGAAGCCAAGTTACAGGGAACAAGGCAGAGGGCCTTCTCGGTGGTGGCACCTGCCCTGTGGAACGCCCTCCCACCAGATGTCAAGGCAATAAAAAACTACCAGATTTTTAGAATACACCTGAAGGCAGCTGTAGGCAACAGACTACTGTACTTTAATGCTTTGTTGGAAGCTGCCCACACTAGATGGGCGGGGTATAAATAATAAATTCTATTCTATTCTAAAAAAAGGTCAACAACTTTGGCCGGCCCTCACGCATGTTCACTTCATCAAATCTGGCCCTCTTTGAAAAAAGTTGGGACACCCCTGGCTTGGAGTTACATGCCACTATAGCAAGTGCACTTGCCCCATGGGTTTGTACAATGCTATTGTGATCTTGGTAATTTTATTCTGGATCTTTTCCCCAACGATCCCTAGCATGGAATTCTCAGTTTTCAAAGGTGGTTCAGAATCTTAGTGGGTGGCGTCCTCTCGGGGCTGTGCTGCCCCCATCCCCTCCCTCCAGTCGCGTCACTGGGAGGGGCGAGGTGGAGGGGAGATCAGAGCAGAAATTAGCCAGGCACCAGGCACATTTTGCTACTGACAGAGGTGCAATGGCGACTATGTGGAGACCACAGCTGGCAACCACAGCTTAAAAGGTAAAGGTAAAGGTACCCCTGCCCGTATGGGCCAGTCTTGACAGACTCTAGGGTTGTACGCCCATCTCACTCAAGAGGCCGGGGGCCAGCGCTGTCCGGAGACACTTCCGGGTCATGTGGCCAGCGTGACAAAGCTGCTCTGGCGAGCCAGAGCCGCACACGGAAACGCCGTTTACCTTCCCGCTAGTAAGCGGTCCCTATTTATCTACTTGCACCCGGTGTGCTTTCGAACTGCTAGGTTGGCAGGCGCTGGGACCGAACAACGGGAGCGCACCCCGCCGCGGGGATTCGAACCGCCGACCTTTCAATCGGCAAGCCCTAGGCGCTGAGGCTTTAACCCGCAGCACCACCCGCGTCCCACAGCTTAAAAAAAACAAAAACCTTAAAAAGAGCTTAAAAACCTCCACCTTAGTCCATGGTTAATTCCGTTTCCATTTCCACTGTTTGTGTCGCCCTCCTCCTTGCATACAGGGATGAGTGAATTGTTGTGAGAGCAAGCTGCGGTCAAGCAACTTGTAGAATTGTAGAGCTACTCAAAACCCCTTGCAATGCAGGAATGTTTTGCCCCATGTGGGGCTAAAACCCATGTTGTAAACAAAATCTGCCCTTTTCTCCTTATGGGGTCTAGGGAGAGAAAGCATAGCTTGGGAAGAGTTCCAAGCCCCAAATACAGAGACACAGAGGGCCACACTTGGCCCCCAGGCCTGAGCTTCCTCACCCCTGTGTTGATTGATATAGTCACAAGGCCTTTGAATTTGCTCCTAGCTTTATTCATATTTCAATGAATCACAGAATCATAGAGTTGAGACCCCCAAGGGTCATCTAGTCCAACCCTCTGCAATGCACGAATCTCAGCTGAAGCATACATGACAGGTGGCCATCCATCTAGAAGGGGAAGTTGCAGTAAAGGTATTCTATTGGCTTACTTTGAACACTCTACATCGGAGGTAGTCAATGTGCTGCCCTTCAGATGCTGCAGGACCAAAAGTCACATCAACCTTGACTGCTGGTCAACCCTGGAGAGGCTGATGGGAATTAAGAGTCTGTTGTAAACAAAAATCTGTCCCTTTTCCCTTATGGGGTATCCAAGAGCCCATATAGAGTCCTTACATAGGTTCCCTATTGGTAGGAGAAAAGAACAGAGGCCAACCAGAGAATATTGAGAAGCAAAGCAGCTAGTAAGCCTGATCTTTATTGATCTGTTGCAACAGGGTGCTCCCCTCACACGCAGGAAAGGAGGAGGAACCCAGAACAATGGTGCGCAAGGCCTTATATTGTCGTTTAGTCGTGTCTGACTCTTCGTGTCTCCATAGACCAGAGCACGCCAGGCACTCCTGTCTTCCACTGCCTCCCGCAGTTTGGTCAGACTCATGTTTGTAGCTTCGAGAACACTGTCCAACCATCTCATCTTCTGTCTTATATAGACATTTTAATTCCCTGCCCTGGAGCTCAAGACCACCCCTCCATACATCATACAGCACAGAAGGGGTGAAACCCAAGACCACCACCCACATACCTACATCACAGAAAGGGCGGTCTACAGGAAATCTGAGTGCTTTGTTTACCTGTTTAATGGTCAATTGATTGGATTGCCTGGGGAGCCTGGCCAGTCTTTTGTAATGATAAATACTTAGTTCCTGGATCAGGTCACAGGCTCACACCCTATTCATATCTTAAATGTGCCCTTAAGACAGGATTTGTGAGGAAAGAGACAATGGGGAGGTTTCCCACTTTGACCTTGCAGAGAAATGATTTGCTCAGTTTGGGAATCAAAATGGTTTCAGGTCGGTCTTCCTGTGCTGATCTATGT